TATCAATACGTTGAGAATGAGATTGCAGCTTTGTATAAATTTTAACAGCATGTCTGCAAAGGAATGTTCTCTCATGCACATCAGGAAGTTCCAGAAGTTTTTAGATAAGATAGAACATGCATAAAAGGACCAAATTAGACGAAGTTTTGGTCATAAATGATGAATTGGGGCATGCCCAATAGAGGAATTTTTAAAAACTTGTTTATTTAGTTTCTTCTGCGGAGAAAGCGAGATAAATATTATATTCCTATAATATGGTATACATATAATCATAATTAATAATCTCATTACGCAACGTACCTTACTTACTGATAATTTTTCAAGATATTCTTAATTTAAGATTATAGTGGCATCAGATATTCGTAGACAAAAAATCAGCATGCATTACCAGGGGTTTTGAAAAGATATCAGTTGATGAAAATTTTTGTATAATTCAAAGACAAATATACAAAAATTACTAAACATATATTCTAGATGTTTTGTTTATGCAGACTTGTTTTAGAAGTGTACAATAGCATATATAGACATTTTAAAAATGTAGCACACAGTTCCTTTAAGTATTGGAACTCTTCAACTCCTGGGAAAAGGACAATAAAGTTCAAACTACGTTGCGTATGCCCCTAATTCATAATCTTAATTCATCTTTATAAAATATAAAAGAATATATTCTAAAGTTATGAACATAATCACGATGAGGATCGAAATTTTATTTTTTTTTTCAGATTAACATATCAAGAAGAGACGGATCCTGTTTTATAATACTTTTTAAAATTACTCCAAGTTCGAACGTTTAAACCTAAACAAGATTTTATCCCCCTCCCAAAAGTATTTTTTTTTTCAATGAAAATATGAAGTTTACTTCACAGTTAGACATTAAAAAATATTTTCTTACAGCACTTTTTCAATGCCTGATAAAAATGGACACGCAAGTTCAGAACCGTCAGCTTCCATGTTTAAAATTGTTTCCTTTCCCTTTATACAAAGGAAGTTCATTTTAGACATTCATTCATTCCGTCTTTATTTCCACCATTTTGAGATTTGAAAAACAAAGCAACTATCAATAGAATAAAATGCGGATGGATTGAAAACTGCTCCACATTGTACATATATGTATAATTTTAAAAAAAATCAAGCAATATGTACATGTACTATATTTTTAGAGCCAGTGTGTGTTAGAAACATTGTCGTGGTAAGAGGCTATACTTGAAACTACATATGAAACATGAATACATGTTTTGCTTAACACTTGGTCGTTGGTACCTTTGAGAAGAGATAGGTAAAATCCTATTCAATTAGAGTGATAACATCTTTATATTAAGAACAGATGATACAAACAAACTTTTATCAAAAATCCTGAAGTTAACAACCTAAGTTATATTCATATGAATAAAATGAATAAGTTTAACCGGATTTTAATTTTTCATTCAAAGTTTCACAATAATGCAATTTTAAGCGACAAAAATTTGTATAGATTAATAAGGATGGTTACAGAAAGGTTGAATTTTGAACTTCTGAATATTTTAGAAATTTATTATTCACATCAGTTACAACCAAAATAGGTCAAAATATATATACCAACCCAGGCATCCATATTTTTGTTTGTATCATCTGTCCTTAAACATCATCATATTCAACTGAGATTTCAGGCAAAAATCCACAGGTTGAAAACTATTAAATTTTGTAAAAAGGTTTCAAGCAGATAATGCGCTATTTTGTATCTTCCTTCGGTAGAAGAGTCAACAAGTTTGTGATTAAGAAAATGCCAAAACTGAAAAAAGAAAATAATACATCCAGAAAAACAAAAACAAACCAAAGAAAATAACATGGAAAATAAAAAAAAAAAAACAAAAAAAAAAAAACAGACATCAAACAAACAAGAAGGAAAGAAAGAAAGAAAATGTGAAAAACTCATTTAGTCGCCATTGAATGAAATATGAAGATAACGAACAGTGTTCAATCTCGAAAGTCCAATGAAAAGATACAAATTTGGAGCAGAGCAAACACGGACCTCAAAATGTAGAGGTGGGATTAAAAGATTAATTTCTTTTATCAATATAGGGCTTATTTACCTTGTTTCTTTACATCTTCCTCAAACTTATTTAAACATATAAACGTTTACCCAAGAAGGGCGTAAACTTTAAATAAAATTGTTTATAACTATATTATTTGAATAAGAGCCAATTACAAATTAAAGATCAATGCTTTAATAACAATCATTTTTAAATAACTTATATAGTAGATATATATAGAGACTTCTAATTTTACAAATAATATCTTTTAGCAAAACTATACATTAATATATAAATGAATGAATGAATAAATAAATAAAATAGAATAATAATAAATAAAAAGAAGAAATAAGAATAAAGCTGAGGTTTGAAAGTGAATCATTTCACACTTTGCTTACGTAGTAACACTTATTGATGTTTCCACAACCAATGTAGATTTCCGAAAGATTGCAAGCCTCGATCGATTCGTCTGCTACAGACTTCAAAGTTCAATAGGTCACACATTCAACATACCGATGAATGTGTCTCGATGGAATGAATATTCGTGTAATATAGATAAAATTTTGCTTACCCATTTTTACTTACGAACTACTTATTTACGTCGATGGCTTCATAAATGCTATATTTTTATTTTTTCTTTCCTTTATTCGTGCGCATATAACCTTTTTAAATTATCTTTTAATGTTATCTATCAAAATTTATTTATTTATTTATATTAGAAATTTAATTAAATGCTTTTCTCGCTTCTCTACTAAGTCTTCTCTTTAAGCTGTTTAATATTACCATGGAACATTCAGGGCACGGTAAAGGTATATTTATGTAATGCTATAAATTAAAAAATCGTGTTAAAAATAAAATAGTTAATTTAAAATCCAAAAGAAAAGATACAAAGTATCCACTATAACGTTTTTTTTCAGTTAAATGTGGAGAAAAAAAAATCAATTTTTTTCTCTCGCTGTAAATAGTGCAGACACTCGATAAAAGTCAAATGAATAAACACAAATTAAGACAACTTTTTACAAATAAACTTCTATAAGGACTAGTGTGGTGTATCACCTGGTGTAAAGAAGGCGTGAAATTTTATAAAGAAAAGAAAACATTTGAGAAGAAATAAAATTCGTCTTCTTTCTTTACAATATATTTGATATAGCAAAATTGAAACAAAAATATCGGGTTATAAAAGATGAAGTTAAAAAAAACATATACAGTATAATATTATGTTTCTATTAATATATACTAATTGAATATTTCAAATCTTCACAGTGGTGCAAATTTACGCGTTCATTTCTGTGTCTTATAAGTATTTTTATATAGTTAAGGTATGTTTCAAACATTTTCTGTTCTTTTCGGATGAATTAAAATGTTACAGTAACTATACGTCTTCAACAAATAAAATCTAGGTAACTTAATAAATTCATTTAGAAAATTATATTTCTAATAATTATTATCGAATATATATCTAAGAAAAGTACATGACCAAATCCTTTATCAGAAAAGTATTACTTTCCTGAACTGTTACAAGTCATAAGATGAAGATGAATTGACTACAATACTAATTAAGTTTAAAGGCAAATAAGATTAGGAATATTTTTTTGGCTCGGTTTATCGCAATGTTCACAAGGAACTTAATATCAGCAACAAAAATAGAGGTAGATAATTTCACAAAGCTGGGCATCAGAAGAGAATTCATGCTTTCTATATCACAGAGGTACAAAACAGCTACAAAAAATAACAAAAATAAGGATAATGGACAGAATAACCGATTTTTTGTTTCCATAGTCAATTAAAAAATTCGAGATAGAATTAACTAATAGAAAATCTTAGTAAAAATAGAAAGGTTTCATTAGAGATCTGATTTGTGGACAGATTGTGTTCTAAGGTGATAAAGAAATTTTGTCTTCAGAAATTATAATTTCTTTGAACACATTTTGATATGAAAGGACCGCTGTTTATTAAAAACCCCCATCTCATCTTATCGGTTTCAACTGATATTAAAGAATGAAAGATTTAGTGGAGCATATGCTGCCGAATTTCTACACGTCCACCTGTCCTTTTGGCCAAGTATGGAGGTGATCTCAGTCAATGTGTTATGCACAATTACCTATTAAGTTGTATCTCTTATCAACGGTATATATCTAAAATAATCTTGTCTTTTATTCAAGAAAGCGTACCTATGCAAGTCGAGATAAAATCTTTCATAACATCAAACAAATTCTAGTGGTTATTAAGGTATTGTCAAGAAAAATGGCTTTGACTAATTTTGCTGTTCGCTTTGGTGGTTATAAAAAGCACCAAAGAGATTTCTAGATGGGAATCTCCGCGTTGCGATACTAAAAACGTTTAATTTCTGTTAACCCGACTTTTTGTATCTCTACCAATTACAGCTCGCCAGATCTGATGACTCGCCCGACCATATCCGGAATGTATTTATCAGACATAGGAAATATACATAAAATGCCAACATCTGAGAGCGAAACACAAGAGAAACCGGTATCAATTGCTAATCAGCAAAAATGGTACTGAGCCACTGTGCTTAAATATTAAATCTTATCATCAAATTGAAAAATACACGCTTGAAATCATATCGTACCGCGAATCTTAAATTGCCTAAACGATTAATTCTTTTATTCTATAGATATTCAAATTAAAATAATTTTTTTTTAGATCTGCCAGTCTTGGTTGCCGGTTTTATTGAATTTGAATTAAGTTGCTGTTTTATATTAGAACGGGACGGTAAAACAGTGACAAAGAAAGAACAGAACTTAAACATTAATTTTTCTTCTGTGTGCTTTTTAATTAAATTCCAAATAATTTATTTCGGATGCATTTTTAATTAAATTTGGTTACACATAATTCGCTTTTGAAAACTCGGTGTTTGGGTAAAATATTTGTAAAATTATCAATTGATCATGAACTCCTATTTGTTAAATAAAAAAAGAAGACTTATTTTCTTAAGAAAATATATTTGTTTATAATTTTCTTATATTCTATACCTTTAATTTTTGCCACATTGAATGATAACTTTTACAGCTTTCGAATCACGTGACGCAGCAGTTTCAAACGCTTTTAAGGTTTCTTGTAAGGTGAAGCGGTGAGTAATTAAGGACTTCACGTTTATTAGGCCTTTGGACACAAGATCTAGCGCAGTTGGATAACTGAAAATATAGATGGCAAGATTCTTTTATTCATACATGTAAGTTTGCCATTAAAATGAATCAGCAAAGAAAAGGAATCATAAAAGATTTTTTTTTAAAGAAAATGCACTTGTTAGAATTATTTTCAAACGATCTTACCTAGACTCAATAAAAAATATATATATTTGAAAATATTTCTCTTCATGTTTGTTTTGAAAAGTCCCTGTAGATTACAATAGCAGGGCACTTAAATAAAAAGGACATATTCAGTAAAGAGAGAACTTCTAAGCAACTTTTAAAATCAGCAAGGATTCTTTATAATCTGTATATTTTTAAACATACTGGTTTTTGTGAAATTAATACCTTTAATATTTAATCCAAACCTTTAACATTTTATAATATCACATCAATTATCAGAGATATTTTTTGTAATATATTATCAATTTTTCACAAAAAGTTATGGAATAAAAAAATCATTCCTTTATTTTTGTCTTTTGCGTTCATCTTTTAAACTGTGTAATTTTTAATATAAAGAATGTTCACAATATAAATTAGCCGTAAAATTCAAAACCATTTCACCCTTTCTTATGATCTATTTTTTCTTATGTATTTTTTTTTCCAAAATCCCCGAATTTGGTAAATTTGGTAAATGCGTCCATAATTAATTCTTTTATCCCGAATTTGTTCCATGCAATTATAAATTATGCTTCCTGCCTTTCTTGCTATATATATTCAATTGATAATATTTACTGGCTTTCTACTTTACATCTGCATAAACGATAAGAAACCAATTTGTAGGATTAAAGAATACAACATGTTCAAATGTTTAAGTAATAAAACAATTTTCTCTGGAACATTAAAAATGTACATAAATTTTGAATACTCCAAACACTAAAATCAAAGGATGTTCAGAACACCGCTCTTATCTCAATCGTTGGACGTTTAAATCTCAAAAAGACACATAAACAGGTAATTTGATTTTCTTCATATTACAAGATGCTAAGCCCCGATAAGTAGTTTATCCTTCCATACATCTCTCTGTTTATGCAAATAAAACGCAACAATGAATATTTGGGAGAGTTAAATTTAACAAATCGCTTACCAATTAGCATATCTAAATAGTCCTCTGATATCTATCTCCCTGGTGAACGCCAAATTTAGGGGGAACTCTTCGCCGCCTGGGACTCTCCCAACCATGACCAGAGATCCACCGGGGCTGTTTGCCTGACAACACAAGCAAGACCAGATCTCACTTCAAAAACAACCAACCAAGAGAAAAATATATTAGAGAAGACAGAATTCATACTTGATCATCCAGATCGAAAAGATATGGGCGATAAAAAGAGGGAAGGAGCAATTGAAACCTGCTTTTTTGGATTTTATGTTCACTGGTTTATGTCATTTATTGTTTGTAGTATTACGTTCTATTCATAAAGATTTTGACACCGAAATAGCAAGTTATTTTGTCTTCAGAATTTGTTTATATCTATTGTTAAAATGGTGAAATGCCTACTGACATATTGCTTCTCTTTTTAAAATATTTAATCTTGGTAAAACTTCAACACCATTGCTATACTAACAACTATGCCAATATTTTTCTGAGATATAAGTTTCTTGGCCAATTTATTTATTTTGCTAGTCACGAACCTGCTTGGAAACCATGTCTTGCTCAAGTCTATTATGGGGTTAACATATGACTTGAGAGAAAAATAAATTTGAGTGAAGAATAAGATAGTTAACCCAAATCAATCATAATGGATTGAAGTATAATTTAAAAATAACAGAAATTTAGCAAATAGAAAAATTCGATTTATTTTGTTGCTTTGCCATTGATAAAGCCCGAATAATTTTAACAGTATCAGGCTTGTCACCAGAATAAAATGTGTTTTTGTCCCAAAAATTATTCCAGCTGTAATACATGGTCACAAAAAGAGAAAAAAAAACCCGAAATGATTCATTTTTGTGTTAATGAAATAAACAAACTATCGCTATAAATATTGATATAAAAAATATCACCATCTCTTTAATTCCTTCTAAGGTCTGAAATATATTGTATGCTACCAAATATAGACAAAGAGTTATCCAAAACTTAGGTAAAAGGAAGCCATCACAAGGATTGTTTTTATCTTTTGTCGTAGAAATCTGACAAATAAACTTGCATAAAATTGCATAACCCAAGCATGCAGTCAGTCGCCATTATAGAAATTATTCGGAAGACAATAGCACATAAATCTTTCGTGACTCTCCATATGGGTACATTTCCTTAGTAATCCTAACAAAACTAATAAAATAGGGATTTTTCTCCTTTTTAAGTAAATCAATAAAAAAAATTCTGAGAGGATTCAAACTGAGTTCTTTTTATGACTGCAAGAATTTTACAGCTTCAATACTCACTCGAGAAGCAAAGAGAAAATTTGAATTTTATTACAATTGATTTGTAATATTAATAGAAAAAATATAAATTTATTCTTAAAGATGTAAAATATTTGACTTAATTTTCTACCCAATATGATAATTTCAGAGTAACTGACTGCCGATAACATGATTCACCATTGCTTTGCATAACGTTTTTTGTTGCATCAAAATATAAGTACCTTTTGATTTTAAATGGATTTCATATCACCATATTTTTATTGTTTTCCTTTATTAACGATCTTACGTAAATTCCTGTGGAAAATCCAAAATTTGTTCCACTGCACTCAATAGTGACATCTGGGAAGTCTCCTATAGTATCTAGAATTTCTGTTGCTAGCTTGGATGGGTCATTCGTCATTACTTTGATTGTGTGATCAGCACCCAGGGACTTGGCTAAAGCTAGTCTCGTGTCGTCCACGTCTGCAGAATACATGTCAGATATGGAAACAGTTTTACAATATTATATTTCTATTTCAAAGTAGAAGTTCCAGATTGAAATTTCTAGTTGTACCTGTAATAACAATGGTTGTGGCGCCATTTTGTTTTGCAACCAGCATTGTGAGAATTCCAACTGGACCTGACAAAATGAAAGAATGTTACGATTAATATTTTTGGTGATTAAAATACAAACATATCTTGTTTTCTGAACAAAAATGCACAAAAATAAATTGAAAGAAAAAGAATTTTACTTGGTAGAAACTCTAAAATATACAGTATACATAGCCTTTGATGAAAACTTTATTTTACTTTTTAAAATTTAAATTAGAGTATCATAATTTTTATCTTTTAATCATTAAGATTTATATAGAAAGCTAGATCCAAATAAAGTCAATGATTTTTTTGGTATTAAGTAATTTTCATAGAATAGGTATACTAGTAGGTATATAAACTATGTCATGTTATGTCTCTGTCTTTACCGAAACATGCTTATAAAAATAAGAATAGAATCTTAAATATTTGTGTATTAATTTTGCTTTCACTCAGTTCAATTGGTATCGATTTTATAAAAATCATAATCTTGATACAATTTCATGCCATCGAATTGAATTGTATCAAATGAATCTTAGAGCTCAAAAATTTCTTCACATGGCTAACTTTCAAGTTTGTAGCAACTATCTTGATTTGAATAAAGGCAAATTAAAATACTAGTATAAAAATTCAATTTTTTTCAATATTTTTTAAAAGTGTGTTTTTTTAAAAAAGAAAAAGGCCATGTAGATTTAAAAGTTTTTTTTAATCGTAAAGAAATAAAATGCTAGAAAAAAAAGTCAAAATCAATTCAGATATCAAATCGAAGTTTACAGGGATGATCTGCAAAAAGGGGCTGACGACAAATTTTTGATATATGTATATATATTTCCACGTTAATCTTCTTTCTCTCTCTTTATTTTACACTATCTGAGAAGAATTGCATTTAAAATGTTGGCGAACAGCCGCAAGTATGCTTTGGCAAATGCAATGCCAAATGGATTTTTCAGACCTTAATCATATGTGTAATCCTGGTTCTCTTTACGTACCGGCTCCACATATAAGAAGTCTGGTACCCAGTCCTACATTTCCTTTACGACAGCTGTAAACTGCAACTGCTAAAGGTTCCAGCATTGCACCTTCGTCATCAGTCACGTGATCCGGTAGTCTGTGAGTAAAAATTCAACATTGTTTCTTTTCTTTTTAGAGGTAATATCAATTTTAAACTATTCTTAGTGTTCTATATATTTCACCTTCATTTTTGTATGACAATTGCTAAAAACACATTGAATATATGTGTTTATTATGCTCCTTCATATTTATTTATTATATTTTGTATTTCATATCTGTTGTACCGGAAGCAGAATTCAGCTGAGTGTTTGTAAAATCGACACAGATTTCCATCATCAGGGGGTGTTGCACAGAAGAAAATACTCTGACATAAATTGTATCGTCCCGTTTTACATAATCGACACTCTCCACATGGCACCCCTGGTTCTATTGCGACTCGATCACCTAAAAAATCACAACAGAATAAGACAATAATCTATTTACCATTAATATACTTATTTAAGAAATAAATAACGTTATTCAGTGAACATGGTGCTATGAATACCAATTGCTCTGCTGACATATTCCATGATGCGCGCTAGCGGATTGATTGATTTATTGATTGATTGTGTGTTGTTTACGTCCCATTTGAGAATTTTTCACTCATATAGAGACGACACCATGTACCGGTAAAGGACTTCAAATTTAGATTAGGTGAGTAACGCCATGTTCACTGAATTCCGTTGCATGTTTATTACTCAAATTTGCATTCCATGATGTGCCCAGAAGACAGAAAAGAAAAGGCTAACTGTAATTTCTTACATGACTACTTGTCAAAATTATTCTGCTCTATCACTTCATGTGCACTAAAGTAATCATGAAGGATCTCCTGGAATAGATGCCCCCACCCCACCCCACCACTACCCCTAATAAAAAAAATGAAAATAAATCAGCAGATATACCTGATCAATACAATTTATTTCCATATGAATCACATAAAATATCTAAACACCCTGTTTATGCTATTTGTTTACATGTCGTCTTAATGACCAACTTCTTATTTCATTTTCATTCATCATATTTCTTAGAATGACGTCATCATTCGAAGTATTTCACCTCTATGACAGATAATTATAGCAAAAGAAGAGTATTTTTTATTTTATGTAAGTTTTTGCTATTTTGTTCGTCATCTTACCCTTTTCTTCATTTATGGAGTTCAACTAAATTTTGAAATACAAATATTAGGAAACAATTTAGAGTTCTAGTCATATCATTTACCGTGACGTCATTTTGCTAAGTCAGAACCAAATAATATACCTTCGTGAAGAATTATCGTATGTGTAAAATTATACACGTTAATTATTTACTCTTATTTCATCAAATGTGTTTTATTTTGAGAAATTTTTATTGTACAATTTTGAACTTTGCTAACAATTAATTTTAAAAAGTTTGAAAATAATGGTAATGAAATATATGGAGATAACGAACAGTATTCAAGCTCAGTAGTCCATATAAACAATAGAAATCAGGAGCAGAGCAAACACGGACCTTTTAAACATCAGAGGTGGGTCAGGTGCCATGGAGGAGTGAGCACCCCTTGCCGACCGCTCACACCCGCTGTGTGCTCCTTGTCATAATCAGGAAATAACGGGATTTTCTTATTATTTCATTTTCTCATAGTTCTTTATTATATCCTGCAATTTATTATTTTCAATTATGTTTCCTACATGTGCTACTGAACAGCTTTCCTTATATGTAACAGATTTCCTCCATGCAAGAGTTTGACGCAATTTAAACAATTAGTGCATATGCTGGAGAGTAACTGCATTTATGGAAGTATAAATGCAACTGCTAGGTATAAATTTATAAAGGAAAATAATAGAGTATATACAAATATAACCAAATATAAGTATATATTTGCAGATGCTCTACCTTTTCCCTATATTAACTTTCACCTAGTAGCTGCTTTATAATTGAATAAATGCAATCGCTCTCAATGTAATCGAAGTTTGTGCCAAGCCTTCACTGCAGCAACAGTATGATCGTAGACTTTATTTAAAAAACGTGCTTCTCAATTTAATTAGGTTGTTTTGGAGTATATAGGGAAACAATGTTAGAAAAAAAAAATTAAATGTACATGTATAGTCTGCTACAACAAAAAATCTCCAAAACTTAAACAGAAAAAATTTTGATTATCATTATTTTCAGACTTTTCAAGAATAAATTACAAACAATGTACAAAATTGCACAACGAAAAAATCTCAAAATAAGCACACGTGCTAAAAATATATGTAAACTGTACACACTAAAAGAAAGATAAATTTGAACGACGGTACAGTTCTGACTAAGAAAATTTGAGATACAATATTACGCCACAGTTAACAATATGACGTGAAAGTTATGCTTTCTTTATATTTGTATTTCAAGATTTATTTGAACACCAATAAATAAACGAAACTACGCAAAAACAATATCAGAATGTTATTTTTTATGCTATATATCAGAAACACGGGTAACTAGGACTCAAACGATGACGTCATTAATATTTATCATGACTAGTGCAAAATGATTTGGTCAAGACGGAATGTAAACGGATACCTAAAACGGGTTTCAAAAAGCACGCATTGTGAATATTATATGCACTTCATGTGTTATCTTTTAAATATAAAGATAGGCACCGTGTTGAACAAAACCCCGTCAGCCTTTCCTCTGTAATTCTTGACAAAATCGGGATGCAAATATAAGTAATAAACAAAGTTTAATCAGTGAACATGGCGTTAAGAATAGCGCTATGTTTATTGAATAACGTTGGTTATTTCTTAAATGTACACGGAATTTAATTATGAAAAAGAGTATTTTAAATTGTATTAATTACTACATTTACAGCTGTACCACAAATATAATCATTTAAGTCTACTTCTGACATCTTAATTGAATTTGGTCGATAGGTTACAAGGTAATGTTATTGTCTGCACACTAAATGTTCCTGCCATTTGTTCAGAATTTTGGGACTTGGTATATTTTCTAAGGATATACAAATAATATAAAAGATTAAGTTGTAGGTTTCAATAAAAATATCCAACAAAAATGAAACAACAAGAAATTTTGATTACCATTATTTTCAAAGTTTTAAGAATTATCATTGGCGAACTTAAATAAAAAATCGTTTTCAAAACTTTCTGTACTAGAGGTCTTAAAAACTTTATTTCGACAAAGACCTATAAATTCCATCACTTCTATTTATGTTCTGAAATTGAGGGGCATATTTTGCATATATTTTATGATAACAAGGTGCAAGTGTTGAATAAGCTTGGCAGTTTGGTTTACCATTCAAATATGTTGAATCTGAGAAAAAACTATATTACCTACGAAAAGTTATCAAAACATATTGCATTTCGAAAAGTTTCAATTCTTAGTCATGCTTTTTCAAACGATTGCTTTATATATATTTACATTTCCAATGTCTTTGTCCGAGATAGAATAACAAATTGTAAAAATACTTTATTTCTACATAAATCTACTGGTTCATCGATAGGCGCGGTTAAAAAAAATCACGTGCGGGGCGGGACAAATAGAGACAGAAGCGGGGCTATTAGCACGAGAATTTGCAGAATCAGGAGCATGTAAATATAAGGAATAACTGTCAAATTTTTTGGATTCATGACGATGATCAATCGATTGGCTTGCGTGATAATTTTATGCATAAACGCCTTCGGCGTTTATGCAAATTATCACGCAAGCCACTCGATTGATCACATCATGAATCCAAAAAATTAGACAGTTATTCCTTAAATAAATGTAATTTTCGGGGTAAAAATCAATCATGGAGAGTGTTTTTAAAATCATTTATGTTTCAGTCAATTCAGACCATTGTGGTAGAAAAATGTCATGAAAGTCCTATCATACTTAATTTTATCATCATATGATAAATCCATGAATCATTTGTCTCATTGTTTGATGGAAAAACTAAATGTACAGCTCATAAAGTGTATGAAAGAACCTGCTAGAAAGGAATTTTATCTGAATGAATTATTAAATTCATGCAAATATTAATTTTGAAGCTGAAATTGTAATATTAATTGATTTAATTATAATAAAATCAATCATCATTGATTAATTTGATACACTTATACTGATACAGTGTATATGATTTTAAATTTGATTTGTCACCCGCGTGGTGCAGTGGTTAGAGCATTTGCTCTAGAGTCGCGGAGTACATCAAGGGTTCGAATGTTGAATTATGTTTCTTCATTTTAAACCTATGTGTATCATTTTGTCAAGTGAATTGAGTAAACTACAACGTTTAAAACTCAAGTTTAGAGCTGTTTACTAGTTGTTTACTATAGTATATTTGCAAACAACAGTGAGAACCTAAATACAGAGACAAACCTTAATGAAAAGCGCGCTCTTTGAAAGTCACATTTTTTCTTATTGGTGCGCTGAAAGATTTAACTTCAAATAAAGATTTTGTTTATTTTGAAGGATATAGACATATTTAGCATTAAAAAAACCTGTGTGAAACTGGAGAAGTGATGATTTAAAAAAGTAGAATGAGTATCAGCCAGTTTATATTTCATAAAGGAATCAACATATTCAAAGGAGAATAACTCCTCCAGTGTTGAGCTAATTTCACACTGACAAGGGAATGCATAGAGCACTAGGCCTTATTGAAATGTATAGTAAAGATAAAACGAAATCTCCTCTATCACAATAATAACAAACATATGGAACTATTTTTATATAAGTAAAAATGTCCCCGTCTCCGGTTTTATATTCATTATTTCTTAACGAAGAACCATAGATTGTAAACATATGTCTAATATGCGAGTTCACCTTTTATAAAAGATTAATAAAACCTTTCTAGATTGAAAAGTCTGTTGGGGTGAAGTACAATGCCTTTTCTTATTTAACTTCACGCAAATATAAACGACAATAAAGAAGAAAGAACTCTCAGAAAATTTCAAATCACAAAATTTTACTCATATATAATCAGTAGTACAACAACGTTCGACTTTTCAACACTTTACACAACCATACTCCATGATATATCAAAGACTGGGCATTTTTGACATAAAAGGGACTTGCTTCTTCAATAAATATTAAATGGTATTTGGAGATAATGAGCCGTAATCAAGATCAAAAGTCCATTGAAACAATACAAATTGGGAACAGAGAAAACACGGACCTGTAAAAACATCAGAGGTGAGATCAGGTCCCATGGAGGAGTAAGTATCCCCTGACGACCAATCACACCTGCTGTATGCTCCTTGCCATGATCAGGAAAACGGAAAAATTCGTAGACAAGTCAGTGTGTAAATAAAGGCCTAACAATTAGTATGAAAAACGTCAATCAGTATTCGACTTAAAGGGTTTTTATCACGTATCTAATTTTTTTTTTAAATGAAACACTATTATATTCTTAAGGCTTGAAACATGTAATTAGCGTTTAATTATGAAATAACTTT